TGTTATCCTGTTATGTATATCCTTCAAGGATTCCTTTATGATTAGGGCCTTTATTAGCTCATGCTGATAAAGCACTCTTTGTTAGCGCACTAGCGTACATTGCTAAACAATTAGCACATGTTACAATTCTATCCAATGATAGTACCATACTCATAGGGAAGAGAATTTTTAAATCTTAATCATCATTCAATTTGGTATATCCAAATTAATTTAATATATCATTGCATACATTCACTTATGAATGATCCTTTATATTTTTCTTCATCACGGAACTTCGCGTTTATTTGCAACATGTCTATTGCCAGGAAGAGGCCATCACAAGCGCCAGGAACGAAACAAGTAGTATTGTTATGATAAACACGAGCTGTTAATCAGCGACTATATAATTTATATTTCACTAATCTCTGCAAAGGGCACAAATTATCGTGGATTTTTTGTAGAATTGTTGAGAGATCCGTCAAAAGCCAAGAATCACTACCTCAGATTTGTTCAGGATTGACGATCCGTTGAATTGATTGAACAGTTCCTTGAGTCCAGCAAGCTGGGTTGAGTTGAATTGAGTTATGTTGTACACGCATCAGATTGTAGAAAGTTTTATTGATAACAGCCACCTCGTTTAATACAATAGGGTTTATATATATTAGGAAGTGGGAGTGGTTTTCATTAAACATTTGTAGGCGCCTTCGGAAACTATCAAAATCCAATTACAGCATAAGCATGGGAAGATTAGGAGGTGAATTTGGATAGATATTTTGAGCGATTGCTAGCAAAGGCATTTCCTGTAGGATGTGAATACAAAGATGTGAATTTAGATAACAATAAAAAGATAGGAAATAAATCTAAGGAATGTAGGATTAGTTAAATGAGTTATAATGAGGAATTTATTTGATTATTTATTTGTTTGGAATTTAATTGGAGTTTCGCGAATTTGGAATTCGCGACACAAATAGTGATGATAGCGGTGTTGGTGGTGGTGGTGATGGCGGTAGTGGAGCAAAATCGCCGGGGAAGTGAGCAATTTTTACTGTGACTATTGACGATGCTGAACACGTACTTTCCACCTTATTGACTTAAATAATACAACTGGATCATTTATTACTGCTGATTTTATCTTGTTTTCCGTGGATCACGACTCCCAGATGAAAGAAAATATAAAGATTCATGAGTCGTAGGTAAAGATGTTATATATTAACTCATATTAGTAATCAATTTTATGTGCAATGTCGGCATGTTGTAAGTCAAACTTTAGTCAATATCGCCATACTGTAAAAAATTTTAGGTCAACCTGGTATCAATCGGTCCCAACTTTTCTGATTACTGTAAACAAAATCCCACTATATAAAGGGTTTCCATTGTCTTATTAGATGAGCTTCATTCGGTGTTCTAAAAGTTTATCACTGTCGTCAATAAACTTTTATCAAACTCTCTGCGTTAAACAGCATAAAGAAGCTTCATCGTCAATCTCATTTCACGGCGAATTTGCTGTCACGAGCCCGAAAGCTATGTCCGCCAATGTAATCACAAATGCGCAATTTTTAAAGGTAAAATTGGAGAAACTTCTTGATGAAATGGGAAGAATAGATCTAACTCTATTCGATCAAAAACTAACAAGAGAATATAATACAAAGCCAGGACAAGAATTATCAAAGAGAAGGTGAATATTGGCCTTCTCGAATCAATTAAAGGGGAATGGTTAAAAAATATATCCAACAAATCACGGACCTGCAAAAGAGAAAGGAAAATGGCGATAGGTACGCAGAGATTGGCCAACGACGATGAAGATATTTTAAAATTGATTGGTGACGGTAGAGAAACTACCATAACTTAAGTTATGTACAAAAACGATTCTGAATTCGCTCTTCAACGTTTAGCTCAAAATGATAAAAACAAAGAACCAACGGAACAAAAAGAAACAACTTATCGAGTAGTCTGTCGCCTAACAGTAAATTTACCCCAGTTGCCACTGCCAACGTTCAGTGGTGACTCAAAAAGTTGACGAGAATTCTGAAGCAGTTTCAGTGCTACAATACATTCTCAAGAGATTCTAGACATCCAACAATTAAATTATTTAATGTTCTGTTTAAAGAGAAATGCCCTAGAAACAATAAGAGCCTACGATAGAGCACCGAAAACTATGGAGTTAAAAGAGAAATATTATTAGCAAAATTTGGAGAACCATCGTCTATCATCAAAAAATCGCTCTACTACAAGTAAAGTACTATAAAACGAAATTATTGGATGAGTTTACAAGAACAAAGTTTTTTGTCTTCATTTCCGATAGTTCTTTCTTTCACGCTTCTCGAGAACTCAATTTTACGGGCAGACCGAACGGAAAAATACCCCTCAGACCGTACATTTCAAGTTATCATTTGTACCACACCGGTTATATGACCGAATCGCAAGAACTTTAAGAGAGACAAAACAACAATGTCTACCACTTCTGCTTCATCTTCCTTTTTTTATTCATACTACAATGTTTAGTCACATATCACATAGCTAAAATTAATAAACTACTCCTAAAATCAATAAACCCATCCACCGAATCATATGCAATTAGTTATTTTTGTTGCATATGATTAATACAATTTGCAAAAGTCATTTACTGGTAGATGAGTTATTTCTGCATCCGCTTAAATTCCTTTTCGAGCTGCTTCTGCTTCTTCTTCTCTAAGTGCAACATGCGCAGTGCAAAGGCCCGATTGCCCAGCGGCAGCTCTTTGTAAGCATACTGCATGTCTTTAGTTCCTGGACGTTGTAGTTCCTTTGCCGGATTGTGTAGTTTTCTTGGTGTTACTGATTTTTTCGGCGGAACCTGAAAATTTCTTTTCATTTGCCGGTCATTATATTTAAATGGAAATTTCTTCTCTAGGAGTAAATTTTATCTGCAAAAAATTAAAGAGGAATTTTGACCAAATTTTCGGCTAAATATGATTTGTTAATAAAACCCTTACTACAAATTTAGTACCAGTTCCACAACAAATTGAGCATCGTCTCTTTTTGAGTTTGCATTGACCTCAAATGTTAAAGACTATTATTACGTTCAAGTGGATTTCTCTCTTGCCATAAAAATTCATTTTCATTTTCCGTTCGTTATTTAAATGAAAATTATTTTTTACTTTCATTGCTATGCTTTAGTGAACTTTTCTAAATATTCTCAATGAATATCCCCAAGCAATATGCCTTGATGATATTGCAAATAAACGGTATGTTATTTGAGCGATGACTCAAATCGAGCCCTGAAGTTACGACTGAAACTGAGCCCCGAAATTACGACTGAAACTGAGCCCCGAAGTGACGACTGAAACTGAGCCCCGAAGTGACGACTGAAACCGAGCTCCGAAATTACGACTAAAACCGAATTCCGAAATGACGACTAAAACCGAGTCCCGAAATTACGATTGAAACCGAGTTACGAAGTAACGACTAAAACCAAGTCCCGAAATTACG